GCAGAGACAGGCGGATCTCTGTGAGTTCAAGGCCAGCCTGGTCTACATAGTGAGTTCAGGACAGCTGGGGCTCCAGGGAGACCCTGTCTCAAAAAGACCAAAAAAACAAAAACAGTGCAGCAAGCTGGTGCTTGTCTTCAATCAGCACTCAGGAAGCAGAAACAGCATTATCTCTGTGAGTTCGAGGCCAGTCTCATTTACCTAGTAAGTTCCAAGCAGCCAGGCTACATAATGAGATTCTGTCATATATACATATATGTATATATATATATATATTTAAATATGTATATATGTGTGCAATAAAATCATTGTGATCAATACTAATGTTTATTCTCTTTTAAATAGTTTATTGAAATAATTTTTACTAATTTTCTTTTTTTAAGTGTTACCAACTTGAAGTAGCCAAGCATGCTAAGTTAGCATCCTGTTAATGCTGTTACGCTGATTAATATGATGTTTAAGAATTTTCTAATCATTGTCAAATATGTTTGTTTGAGGGGGTAAAATTTGCTTAATATTTCTGCTTTAAATAGATGATTATGGTTTTGGTCTTACATTCTAAATGTCTCATACTTAAACTTCTTTTTAAATTAAGAATTTAACGTTTCTTTACTAAAATTCTTAATACTTGTTAAAACAGTATATATACTCTACTATGATTTTGCCTTGGTATAAAAGAGATCCTCAAAATATAAGAATATTTCTAACAAAATATGTGTCTCAGGACTCCCTCAAAATGCTAAGTCCTTTACTAAGCTGAAAATGTTATTAGACTTTAAAATAGAATGAATAGGAGTGATTGAAGTGGCTTAAATATTTTTTCTTTATTTTTCTCCTTCCTTCCTCCCTCCCTTTCTCCTTCCTCTCTCTCTCTCTCTCTCTCTCTCTCTCTCTTTCTTTTTTCTCAATAGTGTCACATTCTTTCTAAGAACAGAGCAACATGTTCTGATGATATAGATGACCTTTCTTCCAGAGCTATCAGACATCCTGACTTACCACATCTATATCTAATAAGGTAATTCATTTCCTTTCAACCTTTAGTGGGCTAAAGTTCATTTATCTTCTAATCCAGGAAAATAAGTTAACTCCTGTCAACCTATGATACTCAACAGAAACACAAATGTACTTTGGAATTAGTTATTCATCTTTAATTTTAAAGTTTCCTCTTTTGTCAAGGCAAAATGGTGGTATAGCAGGGTTATGTACCACCAAGGGATTCCATGGTAATATTGTTTTAAAATGTAT